AAGTCAGACTTAAGCTCCTGCTGTTATCTTTATGTAGTAATCCCTCATAATCCTTAAAGATACAAAGTAGATGCTACCCGGTGTGGGATGCTGCTCTACTTTTTTATCGTTGCTGTAATAAATTACCACACATTTAGTAGCTTTAAGCAACACCTATTTATTATTTCATAGTTCTGTAATTCATGGATCTGGGTTCATGAAATTGGCTGAATTTTCTAACTTCTCATGAGGCCAAAAATCAAGGTATTGGCAAGACTCTTTTCTCAAGACCCAGGGGAAGAATCTCTTCCAAATTCACTCAGCTTCTTGGCTGAACTGTTTCTTGTGATTGCAGGATGGAGCTTCCCATTTCCTTGACTTGTGAACTATCTATCTTCAAGCCAATAAGGGCATATCAAACACTTCCCATGCTGGAAACCTGACCAGCCCCTTTGACCTTGCTATTTGCTACAACTCTCTGGCTTTTAAGGCCTTATCTGATGACACTAGATTCACTCGCATAATCCAGGCTAATCTTATCATATTCACAAATTCCTTGGATTAGGGCATGACTAACTGTGGGGAGCCATTATTCTTCCTACCACTAAAGCACATTTTAGACTTGTGTCCAGTGCATGCGCCTCCTTTGTATTCCTAGGGTATGCATTACTGATTGTTGCCTAAGTGACAGCTACTTCTCATTCTCAGCATCTACTCACTGCCAGCTCCTGCGTCCCACGCTAGAGGAAGAGCATGCCAATTCTTGCTTTCTCTTTCCTGCATTTAGGATTTGAGTATGTGACCTAGTCCTGGACACTGGGACTGGGAAGTCTTGTACAGAATTTCTAGGAAATAATATTTTTTTTTCCCTATGGAGCTTTGGTAAGAAGGTCCATTGCAATAGCAAAAGCAAGTGGTTCAAGACCACCTGCTGCTCTATAGGAGGATGGACAATTTTCTCTTGTGCCACTAACTGACTCTGAAAATCTGCTGGAAGGTTAGCTATGGGTCGGTTCTGACTCTACAACAACAATGACGATGTGGAGAGATAACAAATTATTTGAGAAGCTGGGCTTTATGAAGAGGAGTGTGGCATCAGTATTGGAGGGAGACTTATCAGTAACCTATGTTATGCCGATGTCACAACTTTGCTTGCTGAAAGTGAGGAGGACGTGAGGCACTTGCTTCAGAAGATAAAAAAAATGCAGCCTTCAATATGGATCTCATATCAATACCAAGAAAACAAAGATTCTTACCACTGGACCAATATGCAACATCATGATGGATGGAGAGGAGATTAAAACTGTCAAGCTTCATCTTGCTTGGATCCACCATTAACACCCTTGGTACCAGCAGTCAGGAAGTAAGGAGATTTATTGCACTGGGAAAATCTGCAGTTAGGGACCCCTCCAAATTATTGAGGAATAAAGATGTCAGTTTAAGGACTAAGGTGTGTCTGATTTAGGCCATAGCCTTTCTGATTACCTACTATGCATCTGATAGCTGGACAATGAATAAGGATGATAGAAAAAGAATTTATACCTTTGAGCTGTGGTGTTGGACATTCCATGGATGGTCAACAAACAGATATATCTTGGAGATAATGAAGATGGAGTGCTTTTGGCGGCAAGAATGAGGAAGTTTCGCCTCATGTACTTGTGGCATGTTGCTAGGAGAGGCTATTCCTTGGGGAAGGACATGATGTTGGGAAGGGTGGATAGTTGAAGGAAAAAGAAGATCCTCAGGCGGGTGGATTGACACAGTGACTGCTGTAATGGGCTCTTGTGTGTCAGGAAGTGTGAGGATGGTGCAGGATAGAACAGGGTTCAGATCTTTTGTTCATAGGGTTGCTATGAGTCGTACTCAACTCAATGACATCTAACAAGAACAACAACAACAACAACAACAACATTTTTCCTTAATTCACACACACACACACACACACACACACACACACAGAACTGATTTTCCAGTCTTCAAGCACCATTGTATGAAGTTATGATGTTGAAAGGTTCAACAGCCTATTTGTGACCTTGCCTGATGGAGAAGCAAACAGAAGAGTGTATTGAGCTACAACACCTTCCCACTGCTGTTGAGTCAGTTTGACTAATGATGAGACTCCATTGGGCTCCCAAGTATATAAATCTTAACAAGAGGAGGTGTTTTTTTCTTTCTCTGACACAGCAGCTAGAGGCTCAACCTTACAGTAAGCCCCTCAGCACTTAACCTACTGTGCCACCAGGACAGGATCTTTTGTGTTTTTGTTACACTCCCTCAGACTTGTTATGCTGTCTTAATTTCTAGTACCAGTAAAAGCACATCATACTGGGAAACGGAGAGCCTCCGTGAAAAGGAGGGAGACTCTCACACAATGGATTTCCACAGTGAACCCAACAATGGGTTTCAGCATGAGATCGTGAGAATGGCATGTGGTAGAGCAAGCTTTTGTTCCATTGTACCCTGGGTTGCTATGAGACAGTAGACTTAATGGCATTTAACAACAGCAACAACAACAACAAGAACAGCAAGTTGTTGTTAGGAGCTCTGGTGGCCTAGTCCACAGGGAGCTGGACTGCTAGCCCAAGGGTTTGCTTTCTGGTGGTTCAAAGATGTTAGAGGATTGTGGATCCTTAGGAGGGGGATGGGCAATTTCCTCCTTATGTGATTTACAACCTGGGAATTCACTGGAGGGTCAGTTATGAATTAATTTTAATTCTACAGCCTGGAGTGAGTGAGTGAGTAAGTGAATTTTTTCTTTTATTACTCACATTACTTTCAGTAGGGGTTCCTCCACATTTAACTCAAAGAAGCTTAATTGAGAACTTCATCAGATCTTTCCCCTAATGTATTCTAACACTTAACTGCATTGAACTATGTTGGTTCCCCTTATGAGTCTATAAGACCGTGAGGGAGAACTTTCAGATCTGATCACCTTTTAAAAAATATTCTTGCACCTAGGATAGGATATAACAGTAAACTCTTAGAAACTATTTGATGAATGAATGAGTGGAAAAAAAAAAGTCCTCCTTCTTCATCAGATTCTCACATCCAAGCACATACTACTCTCATTATCTCTGTCTAAGGTGCTCCCGATTCAGGTCATGGTCTGCTCAATCACTTGCTATGCGTCTGAGAGCTGGACAATGACTAAGGATGGCAGAAGAATTGATCCCTCTGGGTTGTAGTATTGGAGAAGAGCACTGAATGCCCCATGGACTGCCAAGAGAACCAGCATGTCTTGGAAAAAAGGCAGCCTGAGTGTTCGTTGGAGGTAAGAATGGCAAAGCTTCATCTCATACACTTTAGGCATGTTGCTAGGAGAGAGCTATTTCTTGGAATAGAACATCTGCTGGGAAAGGCAGAGGGTCAGTGAAGGAGAGGGAGGTCCTCAACCAGATGGATTGACACAGTGACTGCAGCAATGGGCTCAAACGTGTTAGAGATGATGAGGATGGCCCAGCATAGGACAGGGTTCAGGTCTGCTGTTCATAGAATTGCATTGAGTCATTATCAACTCAAAGGCACCTAACCACAACAACAACGACTCTCATAATGATTAGGGCTGCCATGTCTAGTTGGTCAGGTTGTGCCCTGCTCAGAATTCCTCATTATGGCAAGGGGACAGTGGGAACTGAAATCTCACCTACTCTCCTCAAGTCATGAACCCTAGCATGGAACTGTCCAGAGGACAGGGATAATTCCAGATACTTTTCTTTGTTTTTTTCCCCTTTTAATTTACACAAAGCAGTTTTGTAGGACTTGTGTCACTGCAATGGCTCCCATTCTGACTTTTCTTTTTTGATAATGTATATGCTTTTGCTTTTCCTTGCTCATTTTTCTGTGGAGTGAACGATTCTTTTCAGGTTCTAATCATCATGTTCCGAGGACACAGGCAACTATTTTGAGAAGCTTATTAGTACTAAAATATTGGTGAGATTATGACAACGTTCTGGGAATAATTATTTAATACAACAAAAAAAGAAGAAAAAATGAAGAAATCCAACCTGCTACCAGCTGCGAGCAAGTGCTTTCTAACTCCTGGTGACTGTTCAGTGTTGAAGGCTGTAAACATTTCTCCTAAAATGTGTACAGGAGAAGGAGAGAGTCCGTCTTTCTCTTGGCAGCAGTTGGTGGACTCAAATCACTGGCCTTCTTTTGGTTAGTAAGCCGTGGGCACATAACTAACTCATTATGTCATTGTTGTGTGCTTGAGTTGGAACCAAGCCATCACTGACCCTCCATAGAGCTTTCAGTGACATTTAATCACACGGGGGTGGGGGGTGGGGGGGAGATTGCCCATTCTTCTCCTCTGGAGCAGCTGATGGATTAGAGCCCTGTACCTTCAGAATTGTAGCACAACTTCTTCCTGTTAGGCCACCAAAGCTCCCTATTGTGCCATTCAAGCTCCTTTTGATAGAACTCTCCCTGCAGAGGCATTTAGGGAGCTGTGGTGGGTTGGTATTAAGGAGTTGCACTCCCAAATCAAAGTCACAGGGTTAGAATCCACCAGCTGCCCTGCTGGAGAAAGATGGCCCGTCTCCTCCCATGCCATTTACTGCCTCTGATAGCCCGGTGGAGGGTCAGTTAGGATTCAGTTCTGACTCAACAGAACAGAACAACAACAGCAGAGGTATTTGCTTTAAAGACATAGTTGCTTTAGGAGTGAGGGAGCTAAGGCACAAAGGGGTTAAGGAATTGCCTTTTCGGATAGCTAATACGGAGAAGATGGGACATTTGAAACTCAAGGTCGCTGGTAGTGCATTGGTTTGCACTAGAATGCTGTCCTACAGGGTGGCTGTTGGAACTCTTTTAAGAGTCTTGGAAGAAAGGCCTGGCAATTTGTTTCCATGAAGATTTCAGCCAAGAAATCCTTGAAGCAGTTTCAACTTGTTACATGGAGTGAAAATAGTGCCAGTCGGTCAAAGACAACAGGCTTTTTGATTGGTTTGGTCTTTGTTGTTGTTCCTTCTTATTGTAGCAGCTCGCTGTGCTCGCCATCTCTTCAGGGTAGTGCAAGCGCTTCATCTTTGCTCCATTTTACCGATGTATGCGTGTTGGGTGTGGAAAGGAGGAAGCTGACTGGACACGAGTGTTCCCAAGACTTGCCCTTCCTTTCCCCCTCCCGCCCCTTCCTTTCCTCCAAACCCCAAGGCTACTGGCAGAAAGTTCAGGTCCCCAGATGCCCCTGTGCTCAGGTTAGCCATGGCCAGGGAAGGGGCCAGGTGGGCTAAGGGCTGGGGAGATAGGACTTGGTAAAAGCTGTAGAGGGAGAGGTTCAGGAGCAGAGCCCTCCAGCCATGCCATAAACGGCTGCGCTCCGCCGACAGGCACAGGCGGGGAGGCGCACGACCGCAGAGGGAGCAGAGCTGCCAGACGCCCAGAGCCCCAGCCCAGGCCTGCGGGAAGGTAAATGCAAATGAGCCCTGAGTGGCTGTCTGCAGAAGGAGGGTTTTCAGTATGCCAGCCCAGTTTCCCTCCTTCAGCTTGAATGCCGATTTTATTTCTGCATTTTATGAGCATGAGCGAGGGAATTAATTTCCTCAGTTTATTATGAAAGTCTTGTCCAAATAAATTTTGCTCACAAATGCTGTCCTGGAAGAGGGCCGTACTAAAATAATATAGAGATGATTAAAAGTCTGATTTATAGGTAAGGTGAATTACCAGATTTATGCCAAATTAGTACAAAAGATGAAAAGAGAATAAAAGTCTCCTCCAGGGAGCTGGGGACCTTTGTAAAAGAAAATATTTAGGGTACACATACCGTCTCCTCAGCCAAGCTTTACCACATTCCCCTTGTCCCTTTCTGTCTCTTACTAGCTTGCAAAATCTCTGGAGGCAATATTTGGATAATTCATGTGTTTATTAATGATATTTTATTTGTAAGAAAGGAGTTGTATACTAGAGAGGTCTATTTTCAAAAATTATTTTTTTTATTCTCCACTAAACTTTCTCTCTCGTGACAAGGCTACTCCTTTCATCCCACTGTGATTTCCACAGACACCAGGGCCTTTACCTCCCTCTCCATATTTCCTCCCATGCGCAAAAGCGCAAGGTCCAGATATAAGCTTCTCTGAGGTTACATTGAAATTTGAATGACATCATGATGAAAACCTGTCTCTAAACCATTATTGAGCACTTCGTATGGATCAGGTACTTTTCTAAGTGCTTTCTAATCATTCAATTTCATGCTCACAATTACGTTGTATTAATAGGTAGATATTATTGTTGTCTCACTTTACAGATAGGTAAAAGAAGCTTGAAAAGATGAGTCATTTTCTCAGGATCAGAGCTCATTGATCTTTTTTGTTGTCACTGAGTTGCTTTCAACTCAAAGTGACCCATGTGACATAGTTAAGTTACCACATACCTTTTTCAAGATTGCAATCTTTCTGGAAGAAGATCCGGCTGTGCAGAAGAGGAGCATTGAGAAGTGTTGGAAAGGTTATTGATTAGAGGAGTAGGTTGTGTCAAGTGTCCTGTTCATGGTCGCATAGGCACACAGCAGGTCTGATCAGGTTGAAGGCCCTTTCTGCTCCTCTTTTGTTTGGACATTTGATACATTTTGTAGTGTCTAAATTAATAACTCTGGTAGTCCAGTGGCCTACAGGTAAGGACTGTACTGCCACCATGAAGGCATGCTATTCAGATCCACTAGCTGCTATGTGGGAGACAGATGTTCGACCTCCTTGCAATTTACTGTCTCTGAGAATCTGCTGGTGGCTCAGCTATGGGGCTGCTCTGACTTGTATGTACATAACAGCAACAAGAAGAAGACTAGAACAAAGTACACCGGTGGCATAGTGGTTAAAATGCTAGGCTGCTAACCTAAGGTTGGTGATTTGAACACACCAGCAACGCTGCAGAAGGAAGATGTGGTGGTCTGTGATCATGAAGAGTTACAGTCTTGTAAGCTCCAGGGACTTGCTCTGTGTCCTGGAAGGTCATTATGACTCGAAGGCGACTTGCTGTTAGTGGATTTAGTTTTGGTGAATAGATTAAAACAAAACAAAAAAAAAGGGACTATGCTGAAGAGTCTTTTCAAAAGAGAAGAATCCTGCCTTACTTGTACCCATATTAATCAAATGATTGGAGGTCAGGTGAATGAAACCCCAGACCTGGAGCCAGAATATTAAGTTCTGTCTGTAGCTCTGCCTTAGGCTGGCTGCATGTTTTGGAAAGATTCCTAGGTCTCTGTGCTGATGAAATGTGATTGGTTACTTTTTCCCCCCTGTTTAGCACTATTCGTTACAAACCTACTTTTTTTTTTGTTTTAAAAATTAATTTTAATGAAAGTTTACAGAGACTTAGGGTTTCCATTCATTCGTTGTTGCACTTTTCTCGCTGCCCACCCCTCTCCCCAATTCACTCTTCTCTTTGAAAAGGAAAACTTCTTTCATTGTTATACAATCCCTCCCTCCAAGTCCTCTCCGTATGCAGCCTTCATTCTAGACTCCTGTCATGACAATAACCCCTAATCATATATCCTTTTTAAACAGGTCTCTTCCTCATCTGTTTTAATGCAGAAAGACATCCTATTAGTACACATACTTTGGGCATGTTGCTTGTAGAGACTGTTTCTTGCAGAGGGACATCATACATGAAGGTAGGAGGATTGGCCAAGGAGAGTAAGACCCTCAGCCAGATAGAATGACACAGTGCCTGCAGAAATGGACTCAAGTGTGTCAGAGATTGTAAGGATGGATGGCACAGGACAGGACAGGGCTCTGATCTGTTGTTCGTAAGGTCACTATGGGTCATATTTGACTCGATAGCACTTAACAACAACAACGTAATAGGACATGTGGTTGTTATTAGCCTACTGCTCTGGTGGTCTAGTGGTAAGGAGTTGTGTTGCCAACCCAAAGGCGGGAAGTTGAAATCCATCAGCTTTTCTGGAAGAAAGATGGACAATCTCCCCTTACGTATTTATGAATTTACAACCTCTAAAAATAACTGGAGGGCCAGCTAGAAATTACTTCTGATATGACAGCACATAACATCATCAACAACAACAACAACAACATGCTGTCAGAAGTGGATCTGTGTTTTTCAAATATTGCCTAGGAATATCAGGAACCTCCCACCAATCCTCTGGGCCTGTGAGGAAGCAGGAGGCCAGGCGACATTTAGAATAGAGAATATGATCAAGTATCCCTTTTTAGATAATCTGCAACTACAAGGAAGCCAGATGTGCAAACTTGGAAGTTCAAGATAGCAGGAGGTTTGACATTCTCTCTGATGTCTCCCGGTTTTTCAATGGGAGACATCAACAGGGAACTAGCAGACCCTGTCCCTTGTTTAAGTTTGAAGTGCCCATCTTGAGCCTTCCTGGATGACTTGGGTTATACAGATTCTTCTTAGTTCTCACCTGAGCACCCCAATTATACTGAGCATGCTAGCATTTTGTGTTCAGAAGTTGACTCTTCTTTGACTTATAAAATTTTTTTTTTCAGGAGCAGGCACTCTTCAGGGCACTCATATAGGTCTGTCTTGGAGAGGGTAAAACCAAGTTTCTCCTTGGAGTCTAGGATTTTGAAGCTCTTCTCACATACTCTGGCCATGTGGCCAGGAGAGATTGGTCCTTGAAGAAGGACATCATGCTCAGAAAGGTGGAGGAACAGTGCAGGAGAGGAAGACCCGGGATGAGATGGATTGACACAGTAACTGAGGCACTAGGAGTAGGTGTGTTGGAGTCAGTGAGACTGGTTCAGGACAGAACAGGGTTCAGAGCTGTTATACATAGGATTGAAAGCTATGAGTCACAGGTGACTTGGCGGCATATAACAACAGCAACTCTTTGTAAATAACACAGGTTTATTGGAACTCTCCATCCTCAAGGGCTGCATGCTTTCAATAAATACTACCCCTGGAGCTATCAAGGTTGGAGTAGTATTTCCCAATGCTGAGAAAGGTGCTACCCTAAAAAGATCGGTTGTTCAAATTTACCTACTAGTGTTGTAGAAGAAAGGATTGGTTCTCTGCTTCAGGGAAGACCGGTCAGGAAACCCTGCAGTGGACTTGGCTTTGGACTGGGGAAGCCAGCAGAGCTGCTTCCAGGATAGAAGGCAAAAGATGCAAGAGTGCTGACCTCTGGAGAGGATGGACTTTAATCCAGTGCCCTTGCAAGTTCTCTCTAGCTTATCCTAGGGAGGACACGGACTTTGGAAATACTATAAAGGGAAAGAGCAACTTTGCAAAACTAGGGAGGACATTGCTTCAAGGAAGGACAATTCTTAAATGACAGGGTTGAAACGAAATGCATTTCTGGTAAACTTGGAAATAGGATCCCTGAGTCAGCTGAGAAAGCCCAGACTCTTATGGTAAAGAAGAATTACAAATTTATTAGGTATAAAATAATGTCAACATGAATAAATAAATAAATAGAAACCCCATGCATATATTTTACAAAAAGTCTTCTTCAGAGAAGAACCTCCGTCAGTCTATCTTGTCTGCTAGATTCATACATCAGGCTCCCTTAGGCTCAGGCTGAAGAGTAAGCTGTTCTTCATTTCCTGTGCATCTCAGTTGATTTTTTTCCTCTGACTTTTAAGAAGAAACCAGAAATCTTGACAAGTGCATGTTCTTAGTCACAGGATTACCTTTCCTCCCTCCTAAATTACTGGTTCTTCAGCTTTCTTGGATGTCTTTGTGTCATTTTCCTGTGCCTTACAGATAGGTGGGAGTGGGGACCATCAGGTAAACAGAAGTTTCAAATTCAGTCATTCTTCAGTTCTTTTCTACATCCAGGCATCTAAAGAATGAATTTGCTAGAGTAGGTGGCTCTCATTACTTTTTCTGCTTCATTTGAAGGGGAGGGTGGTCTTCGTGGATTGAGAACAAGCATCCCCTTTGCTAGCGCCCCTCAAACAAGCATTTTAGTATCTCTATTTCAGTATCTCTTATGTAGCCATCAATCACTGAAATATGCTGGTGCTCACATCAGAACATCCTGTTCTTACTGGTTGTCATAAAACAGGTGCACTTGAAGCCTCCCTCATTTGAAAAGTTGTCAGTTTCCAAAAAACACTTAAATTCACATTTTGAAAATTAGAGCCCTTGCCTCCAGGTTCAGGTCCTGAGAAATACTTGATGGATCTTGGCACATAAATGTTAAATAACAGTAATAAATTAATAAATACATAAGTTATTTAAATATAGCATGAAGGTAATTCACAACCTGAGAACAGGGAAACCTATAAATAAATGAGCTGGTTGTTTCAGGGGGCACTTAACATTTAACCATAAAAACATAGTGAAGACATTATTACTATCCTTAAAAAAAAAAAAAGCAAGTTAGATGGGGGATTTTTTGATTGTTGTATTTTGTCCTTTGCTGCGAAGTTTATAAAAAATTCTGGCTGATAGCTTACTCTTTTCCTTTAGGGACTCTTTCTGGATTTGTTACCTACAAAAAGGAAGATCAAAATATGAATGAGATGTGCAGCCCCAAACCCTTCTTACTTCACATACAACTTTATCCTGTGCAGGGGACAGGGTTCAGAGTGGTTATGAGTCGTACTCGATTCAACAGCTTTCAGCAGCCATCCATACTCTACTCAACAGCAGCCATCAAGAGTGGGGCCTTTTTTTCTGTGGCCTAGAATTTGGCTGCAACTATGTTCGCCAGAGGATCTCTTGAGAATTTTCTTAATATCTAATCATGTCACTTCCCTGCTTAAAGCCCTTCAGTGGCTCCTCATGGACCTCAGGACAGAGTTCTAACTCCTGCATTCAGTTGGTAGGCCCTCCACTCTGAGGCCTGCCCACCTCTCTCTTTCGCGTTTGCCTTTCCCTGAGAAGCCCTGCTAACATACACAGTCAGGTCTCAGCTATAGTTGGCAGTTTGAACCCTTCTAGTAGCTCTGTAGGAGAAAGACCTGGTGATCGGCTTCTGTAAAGACACAGCTAAGAAAACCCTGTGACACAGTTTTCTCTGTCACATGGATTCACCGTGAGTTGAAATCGACTTGATAGCTCCAACAACGAGGAAGAAAGACTCATATCTGTTCTCTTTGCTGTTGTATTCTTATGCAGCACCGTGTCTGGCAATTATGGGCATCAAATAAAGTTTGCTAATGAACAACTGTATATATCTGACCCTGGCCACTGTGTCCAGGGCACCCTACTTGTCCACTGCTCTTTGGCTGTGCCCCCTACTGTTACCCAGCACCCAGGGACGCCTAGTGAGCAGATCTAGACTGGGTTTCTCGGGTCTCCTCACCGAATTGCAGGAGGTAGATGCCCATTCACTCCAGGAGGAGCTATAGTAGCGGTCCCGGGCTTGCACCTGGATCTCAGCGTTCTTATGGCAGGTAATTTTGGCTGAAGTCTTGTCCACACAGAGTTTCTCTTTCTGTAAAGGATAGTGTAATCTGTGAATGCCTGGTGGCAACAAGGTCAAAAGGCCTGCATATTTCTTCAAAGCACAACCTCCCCAAACCATCAGACCTAGGTCTTAGCCACATATGCAATTCACAGGGTCGAGTGTAGAACGTCTGCCACCTACTGGCAGAAGCGCTAAACACAGATTCTACTTTTCTTTATTGCACCGTAAGTGATGCAAATGGTTAACGTGCTCAATCAACAGTTGAAAATTTAGGTCCCCGAGAGAATCAGAAGAAAAGTGTGGTGACCTACTTCCAAAAATAAGTCATTGAAAATCCAATGGAGTATTTTTCTACTCTGTCACACATGAGGTCGACATGGTTGACTCAATCACAACTGGTTAGTGGTTAAGAGAGGATTTGGACCACCTTTCATCTTTCTACTATAGATGTCTTGTCCAAAGACCCCAGATACACTCACTCTAGTACTAGGATGTCGGACCACGCTAGCTCTGCTCTGTTTCCTGGACATTCAGAAGCAGTATACCTTGATTTTTCCAGTAGACAAATCTGAGTTCAAATCCTGGCATATCTACATGTTACACTTCTTCCTCACTTATCAACTATATCATTATTTGACATTTTTAAATTTAGGACAATAATAAAGATCCCACTATTATATGTCTGAGCCTGTCTGCAGTAATAAATGCTGAGGTGAGTGCAATGCTCGCTGTGAAGTGTTAGGTGTTAAGGTTATGGGGAGGCTTGACTGTGATGCTTGTGGTAGTTACAGAAGGATGACATCGGGAACCTATGTAATACTGTGTTATTGTTATGAACTGTTAAGTTGGAACCAACTCATAGCTGACCCTTTAGTGGATTTTCAGAGGCAGTAAATCCCAATGGGGGAGATGGCTCGTATTTCTCTTGAGGAGCAGCTTTGTACTGCTTGCCTTTGTTGGCATTGTGATTTCTTACCTCTAAACTGCTTCCCACCAGTGCTCCCTATGTAATAATGAAGTCATCCTGCCTTTTGTGATCTGATATGGTCATCCTCTATTTTTGCATAACTATTCAGTCTTTGGAACCTAACCATGTCAAGAAGTGAAGAAAGGATGTAGTTGTATGACTTCAGGAAAATTTATTAGGCTCCTTTGTGTCTCAATTTATTTATTTACAAAATGGGAATAAAGATAATAACTTCTGTATAGAGTTGCAAAAATGAAATACTTATGAAGCACTTATGTATACAATTTAAACACTTATGAAGCATTTCATATGAAACCTTAGCAATGCCTTTACCACAAGAAAACACCCAATGACTATTGCATGTTAATGTTATGTGTTTTAAGGGAGGAAGATACTTAGGAACACTGAAAAGTAATGTTTAGCTAAAACCCCTCACCTTCCAAAATCTCAAGGGTTTTAAGTGAACCACTGGAGGGCAGTGGTGGCTCAATGGTAGAATTTTTGCCTTTCATGCAGAAGGTTTGGGTTTGACTCTGGCAAAACACCTCACTATCTTTCTGTCAGTGGAAACTTGTGTGTTAGTTATGATGCTAATTAGCTTTCAGGCGAGCTTCTAGAATAAGAGTGGGCTAGGAAGAAAAGATTGTGATCTATTTTTGAAAATCATTTCAGTGAGACTTTATAGGTAAAAACAGTCTGATCTTACTTGCCTGGATCAAGAGTTGGGGCCAACACAACAGCAGCCCAAACCAACTGTATTACTGGTTTTTTTGCCTCATGCTAAGTGCTATGCTGCACAGGACTTTCATGCAGTGATTTTAAAACCGGGATCCAAGGAGGCATAGGGCTTTGTGAAAACACCTTCGGAAACTTTTAAGAGGTAAAGGAAATTTGATATAAGGAAAGGAAGTTTGAAAGGCATTGTCTGAGCCCATAGAAATGCCAACATTCTGTTTAATAAGTTAATATATGGAATGTCTGAGTTACCCATTCTATCACCCACTGTATACATCAGATACCATGACTCTGAGAGTAAGCATTCGTAAATAACTATCCCAGAAGCAGCAGAGTGGCTGAATGTCAGCTCTTGGCCTTCTGTTGACTGAGTTTGTGCTCTTGTCCTATCATTTCCTAGTTGAGTGACCTTGGGAAGCTACTTAATTTCTTTGAACCTCAATATTTTCACTTTGTCAAGTGATGGTAATAATATGCTCTGCCTTTGTGAGGTTATTAGGAGGATTAAAAAAAGATAATTTAGGTAAATCAGTACAGGTCTAGGGCCATAAATGTGCTAAGAAAAGTTAGTTGTTACTGTCATTATTCATCTTCTTTATGATGGATAAAGGTGACCAGAGACTATATCACATACAAATCATGTCTTACCCTTTCTCTCTTGTTTGTGCCATGTACTTGGAGGCAGAATGTCAGGGAGAAGTAAGAATGTGGGGTGCTCCAGGTGTCAGGGTACTCCCAGCTGACTTCCACATGCCGAGAATTTGTCAATCGAGTCAGCTGCAGATTCTTGGGTGGGTCAGGTTTGACTGTGGAAAAGATAGAGAAATATGCTTTATTTTTCTAGTGAGGCTTTGGAGTAATGCAGTTCTGGCTTCTGATTCCACCTATACCTTTTGCCAGCCATGGGCTCATAGGATTACCATCCAACTTCTCTCAGCACCATTTTTATCTGGAAAATGTGATTCAAGGTGGTTTCTGTTCCATAAGTGGTTGCAAGGAATCAGTGAGATGTACTACCTGAAGTCCTCATAAGAGATCAATACATGAACCCTTCTTTCCAAAATATTAGGAAATTAAGGATCCTCAGGGCTTCACTTGTAATCTTTGAAAATTTGCCATCCAAAGTCCAATTATGTCTGTCTATGCCCCAGCTAGCCACCCTCTCTTGTTCCTGTTCTGCTTAGATCCATGGCTGGTGTCACATTTCCCTCCATCCATCAGGCAGGGAGGGCCTTCTTCCCATCTTCTGGTGTCACTGGGCACAATAAGGGATCATGATGTCTAGTCACTGAATGACCTGGGCCATAACTATCTCTAGGTAAATAAAAGAAACTGAGTTGGCAAAAATAAGGTACCTGAGCTTCAAGGTCACACCACACCCTCAAAAGAACCCTCATCTATCACTATACCTTCTACTAAAATGGAGAGAAACTCAAAAGCCTTCTCTTTGGGGAACCATTTTCCTCAATCAGATGGTTTATGATTCTAGAACCAACTCTGCTTGGTGCTCAGAAGAAATTCCCAGAGCAGTTCATCTCTAGGCAATGCCATCGAGGACCCCCCCTCCTCTGGGATCAAGCCCTCTTCTTATACCAACCATGGGTCAGATTGAGTCCATCACTGAGAATTGTAGAAGACTCTCTACTTACTGCCCTTGTTTTGTCTTTTCACAGCATCTGCACAGACCTGTAGACGTTAAAATCAATTGTCTCTATACTGATTCGTTCACTCACTCACTCAATAAACTGTTACCGAGACCTCATTATGCGCCAGCCCCTACACGAGGATTCGGCAGTGAGCATCACAGTTTCCATCCTAAGGAGTCACATCTTCTAGAGGAGGGATATGCGACATTGAAGGTGTTTGGATGCAGTACACCCAACACAAACCACACAAAGACCATGGCACCTTAGAAATGACATTCTTCCCTCTACACTTACTATGACTACTATATCTTTTCTTTAGGTGTCAGTTAAATAACATCACCTTCTTGACCACATTATGTGAACTAGATCCCACCCACCAACTACAAATGACAAACACTCTGCAAATGCTATAGAAAATTCTGTGGTTCTATCATGCTTTATTTCATAATGCTCCTTCAGTGATCAAGAAAATAGTAAATGTACTGATAAGATACTATCTGCCAATTAAAATATAGATATTCAAATTAAAATAGTATATGTTGGGCTTTTCTAAATTTATTTTTTTTTAAATTTTTATTAGGATTGTCAGGCTAGAAACCATTCAGAGTGCTCAGAGGTTGAACCAGCACTGAGCCTAGAACAGCCACTTCCTCTTTGCCCTGTGCCTCAGGTGCAGCAGAGCGGCCACACCTGTGGTGCTGACTGATCCAGGGAAGCAAATCATTTATATTCTAGCAAAGAGTCTCTCTTCAAATTAGAGTGAAGCTAATACCGAATCTGCTGCCTCTGAGTAAATTCTGACCTGATATATAGTGAGTTAAGCATTGCATGACTTGTCAACCAAAATGTTTGTGGTTTGAACCCAGCAGCTGCTCCTCAGGAGAAAGATGAAGCAATCTATTACCCCAGGGGGTCTGTTTCTAGGCTCAGAAAGCCACTGAGAAAGTTCTACTCTGTCCTATAGGACATCTGTGAAAGAGAAACTATCTGAGATTAATTGCAGTTTGTAGGGAAGCCCTGGTTCTCAGAATAAATATTATTCCCGAAGGGCTCTTAGATTGTAAGTTTGGGAAGCAACCTTGGTGGCAAAATAGACTTGCAGCAAAGAGCCTCCTGTCTGGGGCAAGTGGTTAAACTTCCTAAGATTCATTTTTTTTCCCTCGGTAAAATGTAGATAATAGTATCTTCACTGTATTCAAGTATGTATGTGTGTGTTTTGTGTGTGCAGAATAAAAGAGTCAACACAGAAAAATCTTTGTATCAGGTGTCTGAGGCATGGCGTGCACATGTGACAAATAGCACCGACCCTTACTAAGGGCATATAATTGTTCCACACTCACTGATGTCTCGGATGAAGAAGCTGTTGGTGTACTTCTCATACTTGAGCTTGTGAATAGCTTCCACCACGACCTCAATTGGCAGGCTCTCCTCAGCTGCTGGGCAGGCGCTCTCCTCCTGACACTTCACAGCGTACTTCTTATACCTGCTCTGGTCCCTTGTGTCCTCTTCAGAGGATGTCACTGGCCCACATGTCACCCCTTGGGAGTCAGAGGAGCTGAAGTCAAAGAAAGGATGCCACATTAATGGCTACTGACTGAGAGGCTGAAGGCTCAAGTCTGCTCAGAGGAGGCTCAAAAGAAAGGCCTGTTCATCTGCTTCTGAAAGATCAGCCATTGAAAATTCTGTGACTTGAAAACCACGGAGTCACTGCTGGGTGGTGTTAACTGCATGGTAACTGATTACTCATTTGTGGGTGAGCTTTTAGTGGAGAGCCCTGATGGTGCTGTGGGCAAACAATTTGGGTGCTAACCAAAAAGGTCATGATTTTTAACCAATTTAAACCTGCTATTTGGGAGAAAGATGTGACCATCTGCTTCCATAAACCATCTGGGACAGGTCAACACTGTCCTCTAAGGTTGCTTTGAGTCGGAATCAACTTGATGGCAGTGAATTTGGATTTAGATTTCCTAGTGACTGCGGGTAAGGATCTTTGGTGGCCTAGTTCATAGGGAAGTATGGGGCTAACCCAAAGCTGCTGCCTCTTTGGCAGTTTCAATCCACTAGCATATCCGAAGGAAAAAGATAGGCAATCTCCTCCTGTAAAATTTACAGCCTCAGAAATCCAGTGCAGGGTCAGCTCTGGGTGGGTCCCACCTCGATGGCAATGAGACAGGCAGTGACTGCAGCCAGTGAGGCTGGTAAGACAACTGTTTGAGGCCATGACTCCTCCAACTGGTTTGGTTTCTCTCCAGGGTTGATAAACTCCCTTCCCTAGGAGATGAAGCTCAGCTTCAGCGGATGGTACAAATGTTTGCAAACAACTCTGCATGCATATGTCCCTGGCCTTGAGCAATCTGGAAGGTTTTTAGAATCCTTGATTAAATATCTTTATTAAAATTTCAAATTTATGTTTCTTAGTTTAATTAAAAACAGTACATTCTAATTACTAAAAAATAAAATAATAAATATGTATATAAAAGTAAATGTATGTATACTGTTTTCATCCATGTATTTATCTTAAATCTCACTTCCCGGACAGAAATACTATTCATAGCACTTGCTGTAGTCTTCCAGAACTTTCCTAATGAAAATTCAAAGTATCATATATCCACATGTATATATTTATATATACACATACACATATTTTATCTGTCTGGCTCTCTCTCTTTCTACAGATATATATAGATTTTTATATTCATAAGTGGGTTGGAATTATACATACTGTTTTACAACCATATTTTTGCCTTCTGAACGTATTATAGAAGCTTTTCATGTTAAAACGTATAGATTGGGTTATTCATTTTAAAGCCTGCATAGAATATAATGTATCTCTCTTTATTTAACCATTCCCCTGCTAATTACCCAAAATGCACTCAACACTTAGGGCCTGATTACAGTGAACATTTGCTCCTCTATCTTTCATGTTATAATTTTGAAGATGGAAAATGACATCCCAGAGGGAAATTTAGGGACTGCAGGTGATGCATGTGGTTTGCAATTGGTTGCTAACCTAATGGCTGGTAGTTTGGACCCACCAGGCGGTTCAGCAGAAAGAGCTCTGTTCCTTAAAGATCATAGCCAAGATTAACCCCTAGAGCAGTTCTGCTCTCTATCAAGTGGGCTGGCATGAGGTGGGGGCTGACCAACAACAACTAAACAAAGATCAATTTACCCAGCCAAATAGTGCCAAAGCGAGGGCGATACCTTAGGATTTCCTCCATTATCCTACACTATTTCCGGAATGTAGCTGATAAAACCACAGGCTTTGTATCTGTGAAAATGGCTTTCTAACAGAAAGCCCACGTGTAGTGGACAGTGAACTGCTCTGCTCTCTTAGCTTCGGATGGGTGGCATTAGCAGGAGAAACTTGAGGAGGGCTCGGGAAATTTTCTGATGGGATCATCGTTTTGGAATCGACTTTTTGGGCCTGTGATCTAAGCTCTGGAACGCTTGTTTCTATTTTTGACACAGGTACAATTTTGGCAAGTCATTTGTAACTTCAATTTCTCTTTTTATCCCTCCCTGCGGTGCTATGAGCCTTAACAAAGCATTTCCAGGCCATTTGGATGAGAATTGGCTTCAATAAAGCCGAGGCTATTTTCAGGCCTTGATAATATCCTGTCCAAATACGTACATTTGTTCAAGCAACTGGCTTAAATCTCCATGTTCTTTCCTTAATTTAGGGCAAGAGATGCGAGTTGAAAAGATTCTGTGTTTGAGTTGTCACTGATGGGCTTTCCTTTTCTTTTAATGGGATGGTAAGTTCTAGCAAAATGTCAAAGAGCCAGGTGGGTTTCACTTACCCTCTGCTGCTTTTAACAATAAATTCTAAATCAGCACTGATTGCTGTCAGCCACCAGCAGGTAAAATGTCCTGAATAATTCTTTGCTTCACATTTTAGAAAGGTCTTATTTTTGCGTTCTGGATGAGAAAAAGAATAAAAACTCAATGTTTAGAGGTTGTCTTTTAGAACGATTTTGATCGTAATTAATCACAGGTCACCCAATGGTACAAATGTGTAGTTCTTCCATTAATTTTCTTGGAAAATAAGACTATTTCCCTAGCAGTTAGTTTATCTAGGGATAAGAATATCTCCATAAGATATTGATTCTATAGGTTTTAATAGATGTCAGAGGGAAGTATTCTTAATATTTCCCCAAGGCTATCACCTATGCTTTGACCTTGCATAATTTCTACTAGCCATAGGATAATATTATTTTTATTTAAAAGAAAGCCTTAGAAATAGCATCTAGACTGACCACAAACATTTCACAACATGACATTTTAATGGGTTCTAACTCAAAGCTATCCAAGAAAGCAAAGGATAATGACATTTCTGGTGGCTTAAGAAAAGAACTTTATGTTAATTCATGAATTATCCTGTGGCCTGTCTTTGTTTAGCTTTTACCTTTGTGCCACTTACTGAGGAAAAGAGACCGCTGACACAATCTACAGGGATGAAATTACCTTTCTGTTCCTTTAGGATATCAGTGGACCAAACACCATCTTCTCTTTTGTGAAGCAGCAAGAGTGAATGGCTTAGAACCTTTTCTCCTTTCTGACAGGTGTATCGGCCAGCATCTGAGAACTCTTTGACCTGGATGGTCAGAGTTTTGCCAGAGCCTAAGACCTCACTGCTCTGGTCAGAGGTCCAGGTGATGCCATCTTCTTCAAGGGTGTTACAAGTGAGGACCACCTCTTCTCCAGAAGCATTTGGGTGCCAGTCCAGGTCTACAACATAAACTGGAGAGCAGAGAAAAGAAAACTAGACTTTAAATTCTATTAATTCTGGGATTATGAGGAGAATTGTGGTATCAGGATTGGTGGAAGGTCTATTAACAATCTCCGTTATGCAGATGACACAACCCTGCTTGCTGAAACTGAGGAGGACCTCATGCACTTGCGAAGGGTCAAGGACTGCAGCCTTCAGTATGGACTGAGGCTCAATGTCAAGAAGACAAAGATTCTCACCACTGGACCAATTGGCAGCGTCAGGATGGATGACGAAGATATTGAGAGTGTTCACAGCTTCAGTTTGCTCGGCTCCACAGTCAACACTCTTGGCACCACCAGTCAGGAAATCAAAAAGCGTATCGTGATGGGAAAGTCTGCTGTTAGGGACCTCTCTAAAGTACTCAGGAGCAACAGTGTCTCTCTGGAGACTAAGGTGCGCCTGATACAGGCCATGGTATTTGCAATCGCTTGTTATGCATCAGAGAGTTGGACAATGACTAGGGAGGACAGAAGGAGAATTTATGCCTTTGAGCTGTGGTGCTGGAGAAGGGTACTGAATGTACCATGGACTGCCAGGAAAACAAATGGATTTGTCTTGGAAAGGATTAAACCAAGCTACTCCTTGGAGGCAAGGATTCTGGGGCTTCGTCTGACATACTTTGGACATGTTGCCAGGAGGGACGGGTCCTTGGAGAGGGACATCATGCTTGGGAGGGTGGAAGGACAGCGCAGGAGGGGAAGACCCTCTATGAGATGGATTGATTCGGTGACTGGGGTAATCGGGATGGGTGTGTCAGAGGCGGTGCGGTTGGCGCAGGATAGAGCAGGGTTTAGGGCTGTTGTGCATAGGGTCACTATGAGTCGGAAACGACTCGATGGCACATAACAACAACAACAAACATCCTGGCATCTTGACTGCTTATGCATAGCCTTGCTCATAACTCGTGCTTGGAAAGATGCTTGCTGAGATGTTTTCAGGGCATTGGATCCCACTTGGACTCAGGAGTATGAAACAGAGAAGCAAAGGGTGTATAGCTCATGGACTCCTTAGTTGACTAGTCATGATCATTAATTTTTGGTTAGTTGGCAAATGAGGAAAAATCTGATACACCAAAAAATGTAAACAGCACAGAACTCATTGCCAAAGATCTAGTGATGGTATGAAATCACCAACACAATTTCCATTTCATAGGGAATAAACCAGAGCACAGCATTTACTGGAATAAGCTGGTGGTTAAAATTACAAAGTTTGACCAGGACTGAATCTCATCCCTATGGACAGGCTGGGGAATTGGAGGCAAGGTAGCATGGAGGCAATGGTAACATCATGCACCTCTGTTTCCTCAGTAAAATGAAAACAGTGTTTGTTTTATAGATTTGGATTTAAGGATTAAATGGAAAAAAAACCCCACAAAAAACCCAACCAATTTAGCCCAGGGCCTGACATTTGGTAAACTTAAAGTAAGCTATTGCTATTCTTCAGAGAGAAAAAGATGAGACAGTGGCACAGAACAACTGGTTTACAGCTTTCCGTGAGGATTTAAGGATTTTGTTTTCTTTTCGGGAGACTTATCAATAGTGATTTCCATTCTCTCTGTATATTATTCAGTTAATTTAAAATCGTAGAAGACGCTTCAGTATACGAGACTCTATTTTATATGAAGGATATAGGGGTTAAGCAAAGCCACATCAAGTTAGAAACATTCTACAATTAATTATTTTAACCAATGGCAATTAATATTTTAAAGCAAAATAGCTATGAATAATTGTATGAAAAACCAGTTATGACTTGTAAATCATCCCTCAAATAAAAAATATGAGAAAAAATAGAAGCAAAAAAGACCTGCATCCAGCTCAGGCCTTCTAACTTCTAGGCTTTGCACTGGACTCTAATATAGTATTCCAAAGAGTTTACAACATCAAAGATGCCTTCATAGAGCAGAGGAACTAGAAATAGATACAACAGCAACAAGATACCTTCATTTACTCATTCATTCATTTATCTATGTACTAATTATTAAATAAATGCTGTATTTTAGTGCAATGGTTCTCAAAGAATGAATATCAGACCCAATCAGCAAGCAGCATCTCTTGGAAATTCTTGAGCCCTAGGCAGACTAACTGAATCAGAATCTTTGGGGATAGAACTGAAGGATCTGTGTTTCCAGATGATTCTGATACTTATTTGAGTTGTAATGCCATATGGGTGTTTAACAGCCCTGACTTTGAACTTAGATAACTCTGAACTTAAATTTAGTTCTAGATACCACTCAAGTATAGTGGTCTTGGCTAAGACACTCAACTATACTAAGTTTCAATATTATGTTTAAATGGGGAAGATGTTAGTATTCACTTTGGAAGGTTGAGATGACTTCCCCCGCCACCTGTAACTTTTTTTTAATAGTCAAGACAATACCAGCTAACATTTACTTTCACCTCACCATCTACTGACTTGTCATCTGCGTTCACTGACACATTGAGTAATCTAAGAGTAGGTGTCATTTTATAATTCCTAGATTACAGTGTGTGGAAACTCAGGTGTAAAGGTGATGCAGCTTGAAGTCATATAGTCTGTGATTTCCAGAACAGAACTGAGTCACAGTGACCCAAATCACTGTAAGCTTAAATCCTAGGCTTTTGCCCAAAATGCTTAGTTAGAGGAAAATCATCAAAGTGTCTACTGGGTAGTGGAGTGGGAGATGAGAGAACACGGTTCTCACTTTCCTTAAATCTACTGCTTTAGAATTTTATGACATGACAGCTGGTTTTAGCATTACTGGAAAAGCCCACAACTCTTTTATACCACAGTACACAGATGGCTAACAAAATGTCAAACAAGGCAAACAGTTGTAAGAGGTATTTGCAGGAAATACATGCTCCATTTTCCCAGGAGACTGATCCTCAACAGGAGAATGTAGCATGTGTGTGGCTGCCCATTCAGTCTGGTGTCCCAACAGGTACTGCCTGAGAGTCTTAAATTAGAATTCCAGAAGTACAAAAGGAATAAAAAGAAGCTGATTTACCGTCTTTCTTCAGTTCCCATATGGCCACAAGGGGAGATGCCAGCAAAACTAGGGCAAAACAGGAGATGACCAACCGCTGATGACACATCTGAAAAGGAGACAGAGAAGCAGGAGGAGAAACAGCGGGAGAGGGAAGAAAAAAGGAAGGAAAGGGAAGGGGAGGTGGTCAGAAATATGAAGGGAGAAGAGGAGAATGAAACAAAAGAACAAAGAATGCCAATAATTATTCAGTTACCTTTGGGAACTATTTTTACTTTTTATGCACATTGCATTGTTATTTCCTTTATTTCTTCTCTGAAAAGTCAAATTAATACTGCAGCCCTACACACCGGTCTTTGGGTAAGAACATCTCCAGACAAAGAATCATAGAATATGTGGCGCATAGGCATAGCTGCCTGGTGCAGTCGTCCTATTATTTAGATAAAAAACCAAAGACTTAGGGAAGGAGCACAACTTGTCTGGGTCAGCCTTAAGTGTTTATTTATTTAGGAGTTACTATGTTGTACATAGGGTCGCTGTGAGTTGCAAGCGACCCGACGGCACATAACAACAACAACAACATGTAAAGGGTGCTGGGCTAGGGAGAGCTGGAAGTGAAAAGAGTTTTATCTGGATCTTACCTTCTAGGAATAAACACACTCATTCAACAAATATTTATTAAGTCAGTGTGATAAATGTTAACACTTTCCTGGGGAAATAAACCACATGTCTGAATCACTCACTAGGCAGTGTATGTGTGCAACACCCAGGGCTAACGAACTGGAAAGTTTAATCAGATATAAACCTTCTGAGCCCAACAGGTCTTCTGCCCTTGAAGAAGTCTTGGTTTTCTCTTTGTTTCTGTATGTAGCCCAGTGATCTTGTCTCTAAGCTTGGAGCTTTCAAAGACACGTTTATCAGTCAATTAGTAGTGACCGTAGTAGAGTTCTGACTGGCACAGAGCAACAGTTAGTAAATTCATAGGCTTCGAGAAAGGCAAAAGATGACTTAAATTCTGATTCTATCATCCATAACTATGCAGTGTTTGTTCGGCATGTTTTTCTCTGAGCCTTTTCTATAAAATGCATATAATATCCATCTTAAAGCATTCTTGAAAGAACATAAGGACACAGGAATATTACAGAAGGCAATCAATAAAATATTTAATGCAAACTAATCAGAAAGAGATAAAGATTGATATTCTCTGCTTTACTAGTCAATGGATAGTAAAAAAGATCTGTGCCTTGTTATGGGTAAATGCTCATGAACATATTGGCATTACATGGGTCTGCCAATCCTGGATGTCGGTATTCTGGGAACAGACACCATGGAGATTCCTGGTAATTCCTTTCCATTCTCTTAATGTTGGGATTTTCCCTTTGTCTCTATGCCCAAATGCATTTGATAATCTCAGGTGAGTGCTCACCAAAGTCAAGGAAACACAGTGGTGAATGTAAGAAGCAAGTCACATCTACTTTTAGAACCACTGCATGTTGTTGGTTAGGAGAGTATATATACACCTCTTAATCAAACTCTGGAGAAGCCATGGAATTTGCAGTTGGATACTCTACTGCTGTCTAGATGATGAGCTGACCCCACAATAGTATCCCCTCATCCGACATTTCATTTTACATAGTAAGTTTGAGAGTCTCGAGGGTTCAGTTTTGTGTGTTTTTCTCTCTATAAAATGTCATTTCTTCCCCCCTAAACATCTGAAACCCTCACTTAAGGGATACAGGGACTTTAATGTGTGTAAAGGCTTTCTAATGTTAATGCCAACATGGGAAGTGACACTTGAGTGAACATCTCTTTTCCAAGTTTTGTTTGTTTTGATATTAAGCAAGCTTTATAATTTGAAAAAAGTATTATATTCGATAGCTATGAGAAGGCATTTGGTCTTTTGTTTAATAGAGTCACTATGAGTTGACCTTGACTCGATGGCAATCAACAACAACAACAACAATGAGATGATCTAGTCAGAGATGTTAGGACTGGCACATGGAACTGTCTAGGGCCAGGGAGACCAGCTTTGCTGTTTATTAGGTGTGTGACCCTGGATAAGACTCTAATCCTCTCACTCTTAACCTATAAAATAGATGTCCTGAGGTGAAGAGCCAAGGAGATAATTCTCAGATTGAGTTAACCAAACTCAAATCTACTGTTGTGGAGTCTGTTCCGACTTAGTAGAACACCCCCATATGCTTTCCAAGACTGTAAATCTTTGTGGAAGCCGACTGCTACAACTTTCTTCTGAGGAGTGTTTAGAACAGCTGACCTTTTAGCTAGCAGATGAATGTTTACACATTGTGCCACCAGTGTTCCTTATGGTAATTCAGAACCTTAAGTGTTTTCTCTCACAGATTCCATTTCTCCTTTCACAGCACTTACTACAGTACAAGGTTGTTGTTGTTTATTGTGAAGTGCTATTGAGTCATAGAAGACTCATAGTGACCCTAAGAACAAAAGACCTGAACACTTGTATATCTTTCATTGTTTCTCTACATTCATAGTTTCCAGAGGCAAGCTATTTTGGAATAGGATGCCACTCCTGCTTCCAAGCTTGTTTTAATTGGGAAGCTCCACCAAACACTGTCCACCATGGGTAACCATTATCACATTTGACACATCAGCGTCACTTTAGCATCACAGCAATCAGAGTTCTCTCTGTCCAGCAAATAGATAGACCAGTGCTATGCCACTTAGAAGAATGTTTGACCAAAACCATTTAAAACCCAGCCTGAGGGTCGCAGATTAAAATCACCCACCTTTGGCTTAATAGCATAACTTTCTATCCACTAGGCTAACAGAGCTCTCTTTATGTTAAGTGTCGTTGAGTCATAGACCTGAACACTTGTATAACTCCCAATGTTTTACTGTGTTCATAGGGTTTCTGGAGGCAAGCTATTTCAGAAGTGGATGCCACTCCTGCTTCCAAGCTTGTTTTAAACTGGGAGCTCCACCAAACATTGAGATATAGTTTCTTATTTGATGCTTTTCCTTCTCACTAGATTGAACCCTCTGTTGGTAAAATTACATCTGTTACTCTAGTAGAGTCTAGGCTAGAAACTCTAGGGGTTTCAATTATTGCTGGGATCAATGCACATTCAGAAATCAGAAAAAAGCAGATTGTAGAAAAATGATTCTAAGAAGCTAATTAAACTTTTTTCAATATCTTGAAATTCTTTATTTGTACACAGTCATCAGTTGGACAATCTTTTTTGTTGCTGTGATATTTTAACGTGATTATATTGTTGTTATGTGCTGTTGAGTGAGAGACCCTTCAGCAGTTTTTCAGAGGCTGTAAATCGCACAGGAGGAGAATGCTCAGCTGGATTAAAACTGTTTGCTTTTGGGCTGGTAGCAGACCTCCTTATCACTAGACCACCAGCGCTCATATTGGAGCTTAGAGCTTACCTGGGCAAGTATAAGACACCAACACAATACAGATTTCCCCTTTCTCCCCCTTTCTCTCAGATTTCAAAAGATTCAAGGATTAGTGCAATAATGAATGAATGAAAATTTAACTTCTCTGTAAACTGTCATTAAAATCACAATTAAAAAAAGATTCAAGGATTAGTTTTAAAGTATAGTTGCTTAAAAAAGGTGGGAAAAAAGCTCAAAGTTAGTTAATCCCTCTCATTCCAAAGGGATAATCCTGTAGTCAATCTAATTGGTATGAAAACTGTTCAACCCATCAGAAACATGGGAGCAAGGATGCTCTGTAGGATTTAATTAGGAGCATGATGGCAAACTCAGTTTTCTAAGGCATACAGGATAGTTAGTAAATTCATTATTTTTTTAGAATTTTCTACTAGTTTATTTACAAAATTTGAATACAAATTTGAACAAATTCTTTCAATTTCCCTCACCCCCCCCTCCAAATTAATTTTTTAAAGTTTCCAATACTTTAGGAGGCAAATCCCACTTACTTTAACAAACTCACTTATACAAACATTTAACTCATGACTATTATGATTTTACTCTGTTACCCAGTGCCCTTGAGTTGGGTCTAACCCATAGTGACCCCCTATTGAGTTTCAGAGGCTGTAAACAGCATTGGAGGAGACTGCCTCTCTTTTGCCCATGAAGCCACTGAAGAATTCAAACTGCCTGAGGTGTGAGTCTTTGGGTTAGCAGCACAACTCACTAAGGAGTGTACTACCAGCACTCCCTACTTTTAAATGCATACCACATTAAAGCAAGATAAAGCATGGGCAACTTTTATAAAGTAGATATTTGTTCACAGCCCACAGTACATAGTGCCTTAGAAGTCAAGTCATAAGGTATGCTTCCAGATACCCTCCCCTTAATATCAACACAGGGGCAGCACAGACAGGGATCTCAGACCTGGTAAGCCTTCAGGCTTTGGGTGATGGGATCTAGAGAAGTGCTTACCTTGCTTTTGGGAAGGATACAGGGTCCTCTTGTCCTGAAGCTGGGTTTCTGTTGTTGCTATTGTTGAGCTGAGCTTATATACTCTACTCCTACCAAGCTTTCTGATAGAAACCCAAACTAGAAACTGATTTGTTTATTCCAAATTGCAACACTGAAAGAAAAAAAAAAAATACAAGAAAAAAAAAAAAAACACACCACACTCAAAACCTTCTAGGGGAATTTCAAGAAGTTCCTTTTTCTTCTTCTTCTGTGTATATTGATAATGCTGAGGGAACATAGCCATCAAAACCCCAGGTAATGAACTAAGAGGAAATGATTTTGGGGTGGGGAAAAAGGAAGGAGCTGGGGATGTTGAATTCTTCAGTTTGCATCATATGCTGAGGAACAACTAGCAGCCACCTAAACTGAGGAAGAAGGAAGGCCAATGGGAGGGTGAGCAGGTGTCTGAGTTCATAGCAGGATGGAGAAACTCCTCTGGAGGCTCCAAGAGCAAAGTTCGTGGTTCCCTCAGGTGCTGTTAGGTGCCACTGAGTCAGAGCCAACTCCTAGCTGACCCTCCAGTGGGTTTTCAATCTGTAAATCGCACAGAGGAGATTTCTTCTCTTTCTTGTATGTTGCTCATCTTTCAGAGCAGCTGGTGGTTTCAAACTGTTTTGTTTTGTTCTGGTTACAAATCCTTACCACTACTAGGCTACCAGAACTCCCAGAGAAGCA